AGGAGCGGCGCTACTGGAGCAACCCAGCAGCACCCCAGCTGCTCTGCCCCAGGCGTCCCAAGTCAGCTTCTGCTGAAACTGACCAGCACTGACTACACGAAGCCCCAGGCAGAGTTGCTCTGCCCCGGGCTTCCTGGAATCAGCTGCTGATCAGTTTCAGCAGCAGCTGACTTGGGGACGCCTGGGGGTCTTACGTTGATTCTGTATGTAAGTCAGAACTGGCGGTCAGTTTCAGCAGTGTCTGAATCTGGACGCCAGTTCCGACTTACATACAGATTCAACTTAAGAACAAACCTACAGTCCCTCTCTTGTACGTAACCCGGGGACTGCCTGTATGCTGAAACAGACTTTGCTGAAAATATAATAAGAATGGAACAGGCTATGTCCAGGAAGGGTGAAAGGCAGATTTGGTTACCCTCTGTTAATACCAACATCCTAATTCCTGCCAGATACAGAAAAAGAAGCAATTGACATCTTGAACAGGATGAGTGCACACTTTTCTTTCTTATTATTGATAGTTGCAGTTGGAAGAGAAGAATTAGTGAAATGTATCAACACCTCCTGTCTGGCCTTCTTGCCTTCCAGCTGTCCCCTGCCAGTCTGTCCAAAAATCCTTCATTAAAGGCATCATCTCCTCTCACTGCTCCAACCTTGTTAGGTCCTCCTGAACTTCCATTGACTTCCCATCTCCTACCGCATAAAATTGAAATGCTTCATCCTGCAATTCAAAATCACATCTATTCTTGCATCCACCTACTTCTCTGTTCTCACTTACCTCTTCCCAGTTCTCTTGTCTTTTCTCCTTATTGTTGGATTCTTCTCTGATTTACATCAATGAAATTAGGAGTAACTTCATGGAAGTCAGTACAGCTACATCGGGGTAAAAATCAGATTAGCTACATCTTCCATTCCTAGCTTTGTTCCCTCTGTTTCTGGTGCCAATCTCCCAGCTTATCTGAAGACTGCTTTATCTTTTCTCCTTTAAATTAATCTGTAAACCCCACATCTCTGAAGCCAGTTCTACACTACAGCTGAAGTTTGGCTTAAGTAATACAATTCCAGTTACGTAAAAAACGTAGTTGGAGTCAAATGTACCTTGAACTAAGCTTCAGCATCATCCTCATAGTAGGAGATTGATGGGAGAAATGCTCCTGTTGGCTTTCTTTACTCCTCGCGAGGAGTAGGAGTTGGAACATCGGCAGGGGTGCCCTCAGAGTTTGATTTAGTGGGTGTCAGCCGACGGTCAGGGCAGTGTGTGTGTGTATGTTTCCGAGAAAAGGTTTAACGTCCGTGTCTTTACTGCTAGGACCGGGGTCCCGTCGCAGAGGGTGGCCAGCAGGCCAACAGATGCCCCGTTATATAGGAAGAGCTTATTACACCTTAGATTTTAGCTGCTAGAACACAGGGGTTCCTTCGCAGCGGGCAGCCTAGGAAAGGCTGAAAAGGTGCCCCAACGGATCTTGTCACCTGGGAGTGACACAGATCCAAACACCCAGGCTCTCCCTATGTCTGTCCCTTTATGACTGGCTGAAGTTCTTTTAAATTGTGCTTGGTTCTATTACAGCAACTGAAGGAGTCAGGTTAAAACGTAAACAGTTACAGGTTTATTAAAGGAACTTTTAAATCATACGGTTACAATGGCTATTGCTCTATTTCTTAAATGCTAGCAAATATATATATATATATATATATATGTCTTAAAAATGATTACAGGAAAAAGGTAAAGATAGAAAATAGAAATAATGGTACCAAGTGACAGCTTAATCTTTAAAGAGCTCTATCACTATGTATATATATACTTAAGCAAAGGACCACATCCAGGTACAATTTTTACCCCTTTCTGTGCCTCTTGACTCCAGCGTGTCAGGCCAGGACCGGTCTCTCAATTCCTCGTAAAGACGAATACGAGGTGGGCGTCCCCTCTGGAACCTCGGGAGATCAAACACCAAACCCGACCAGCAGATAGATGGTAGATTGACACTCAGAGAAAATGTGCTGCTGGACCCATCTATAGACCCCTGGGGGCCCGTATCCTCTTTCTTATCTAAGATGCCGAATTGTACTGGTCCGTTTTGTGGCGCCAGTTCTTACAAGCGAGTTTCAAGTTAATTTACACTTGCAAGAGAGATAACTAAATTGTGAGTACTAGAAATTTTTTTACTGGGTGAGAGATTCCTCCCCCCGCGGACGGATGTGTGTTCGTATCAATATGGGTTTGAGTCAAGGGCACTCCTTGGCAGCCTCTTCGTCAGCAATTGGCGTATCTGTGTTTACAGCCATTCACGGTCACAGCAGCCTGGGCCTTCTGCTCTGTGTGCCCTGTATGCTCCAAGCAAAAATGGATGTTACAAGGGGGGGTTCCTGTCTGGCTACAGGCTCCTAGTTTTATCAGAGCTTTGTTAAATCCAATGCCAGAAGATCAACCACCGTAGCATCAATCTTCTCCGTAGTCTAGGCGTGGCCTAAGTAATCTCTTCTTCCACATTCTGATCAATAGTAGCACTCAGGGGCACCCTCTTTTGCATTGCTGCTCTGTGTTTCATCCTGCGTTTGCTTTTTTCGCTTTATTTAGATTCTCATCACTTGGCACAAGGAACAATCTTATCTGTGTTCGGTAAAGCATTCTGTATGTTTATGACACTTTATAAACATTTTACAGTAATAATGCTCTTAAGGCTTCTGCAAAAGTCCTGATAATAGCTATGATAACAATTTAAAGGGTTTTTAGAACTTTTCACTAATGGGTACCCTTTCAAACTCTTTATTCCTATACTCTTTAGTAATTTATCTTGCTTCCACCTCCATATGTGTTTATTGGAATAGCAGCATAACTATTCTCAGGCTGAGTCAGGAAAGGCAAATATGATTTAGTCATGGGTTATGGTAAACTACTAGCTGTTGCATACCCATCTTCTTGCTTGTTTATGAATAGTGCTGGTAATTAAAAATAATGAAGAGACCCATTAAATGGATTCATTAAAAAAATCTACTTCTGATTCAATACAAAGTTATACTTGCAAGGCTTTGGAGAATGGCTTTGAGGTCAACCATGTGTGGGAGATTTTGTCTTCAACAAAGACCTTTCCCACAGGTTGTTTTGTTCCAGAAGATGTATCGATGACATTTTTTAAATAATTTGGACTGGTGAATGGGATTAAATGAGACATTGCAGTTAATTCCTTTTATATACAAAAATGTTTTTTGTCTTGCTTTTCACCATACCTTCCAAAGAAGTGCTGACTGTGCAGTGTATTCATTCTTATATGTACTCATCTCTTCTTCTGCATCTGGTCAGTTCTTCTTGCTTTTATATAAAGAAATATAAATGTAATAAAGGTGTTGTTACATATTTACTCAGAGGCCATTCCCTCCTGCCACCTAGGGTATGTCTACACTACCCCGCTAGTTTGAACTAGCGGGGTAATGTAGGCATACCGCACTTGCAAATGAAGCCCGGGATTTGAATTTCCCGGGCTTCATTTGCATAAGCGGGGCTCCGCCATTTTTAAATCCCCGCTCGTTCAAATCCTGTGCCGCGTGGCTACACGCAGCACGAACTAGGTAGTTCGAACTAGGCTTCCTAGTTCGAACTACCGTTACTCCTCGTGGAATGAGTTTACTCTCCTCTGCTCTCTGAAACAGTTAGCAAGGATGCTGCACAGTTGCTGTCTTCCCCACTGCTAGTCACTGTTCCAGGAACAGAGTGAGTTTTGCCCTGGGCACCAATATTGAGGGTGTGGGAAGCTCTTCTCTGCACTCCTACTTTATCAGCATTTCTTCATTAATAAGGTAACAAGAAATGAATATAATATTCCAGATGTTGTTGCAACCAACTTCATAGAAAGGGGTAATGATTTATTTCCCATGATATGATGCTTCTGGTATGTAACCAAAAACAGCATTGACCTTTGTGCTGGTGTATCCTATTGCAAAAGCAGGTCCAATTTTCAGTCCATTATTACTGCCTATTTCAGCATTGCTATTTTCTGATTTCTTCCTCTGATTGAATATTTGTGTATTGGACTATTTTCTACAAGATGAATTAGCCTGCATTTTCCCTGCAGAGGATGAAGAGAGGAAGTAGGGAGTCCAGCAAAGAAGCTATTGCAATAATCCAAGCATGAAATTATTGAGAAATGAATGCAGAGTGTTGTTGTTGTTATTTAATATTTATATTAAAGTAACACTCAGTGGCCCTGCTGTGCTCAGTGATCTGCATAGGAAGACATACTCTGCCACAAAGAGTTTTTGTTATTCTCTAGCCTCTTTGTAATATGTCTCCTAATTGTTGGTTGCAACTCATCCTATTTTAGATCATATGGAGATTTCATGAAGTTTTGTTTGTCTTGTGAGATTACGTCACGTTCTGTGTCCCTTCAGTCTTATGTATCTCTGCTGCAAATATTGGTGGAGATTTTGTAATGCAGAAATCTTTCAACTAGGAATTGGTTTAAGAACTCCAACCCACTTCTGATAAGAAATTAAAGCATCTTTTTCAGATATTAATATGTAACTTGGATTTCAAAGTCTAGGGTACAAATTATTTTTTTCATAATCTGTGATAGATAGGAGATAGTAGATTTCTCAGTACCCAGACTGGAGGAGCTCATAGTCAGGGCTCTCTGACACTTGAGTCTCATGACCAATTTATTTTTTTGTTATGTAGGCATGATAATGCCTTTTAAATTGCCAATTATAATTTATCTCATATCTTATTTTTTCTGCAGGATTTACAGATTATCAGCACAGATGAAAACCAAGTGTTTGTGGCTGTTCAAGAATGGTACCAGACAGACACGTACAACCTGTACCAGTCTGACCCACAGGGCGTATACTATTCCATTTTACTGGAGAATGTCAGGAGCACTAAGCAACCAGAAGAGAATGTCCTGATAGATATTCTGGAGGTAGGGAGCCATGCCAATATTAACATTTTGTTGCTTTTTGCCTCTTCCTTTGCTTCTCCTACTTTTTGTTATCAGCAGCTCTAATTATGAACGTAATTAACTTTACAGTGATAAAATTATCCCTAATCCTCTGGAGTGATGTAAAGAGAGTACAACATTTCTCTAATGTCTCCCTTTCTCTGCTCTTCCTCCTAAAATACTCAGTTTCCTGAGTTCCCAAGAATGTGCAGTAACAAGTTTATTATTTTTCACTTTCTTCAAATTCAAGGTCAGGGGTTATTTCAAGTACTGGGAAGTCAAGCACTAAGATTCAGTTAGCACCAGTTAATTGGGAAAGGAGGATTATAAACATTCATAAAACTGTCTTATGTAACAAAATTTGGCTTGTAAGCAATACAGCAATATTCTTTTTGGCTTACATTTGTTTTACAATTTGTCAGCATTTCAGATGCTGGCAGCTTTGTCTGAGAATGTAATTATCAGATACAATGTAAGTCCATTCATTGAGTTTTGTTTACAGATTTCAGTGGTTTTGTTTTTCAATGTTCAGGAAGCTTTTTTTGCCAAGAGAATCTCAGCAAATAGCAGTTGTACAAACATAGTACTGAGTCTTAACTATTCACCCAAACAATGAAGAGCCAGAATATTAGATCTGAGTCATACCACAAATCCTCTTGTTTTCTGTAGGCCCTTTTTCCCCATTGTAGCCGGCCAGAGTAAGTCTAACGTCTGACATTGGGTTCCCAAACTACAAAATACGCCACACAGGTATCTGTCAAATACAAGTCGTTTATTTCCTGACAGCTAACAGCTGTGCCCCATAAATGGAAGAACAACGTAACAAAGAAGCGGCATATTTTATATCCCTTCCTGCAAGCCTGGAATCCCGGGTAGGCTGCGGACGAAGTGGGAGGTTGTCTTAGCTTCTGAGGCACTGGTACCCAAAGCCCATCAGTGAGGTTCGATTTGCTAGGCTCTGAGGCAGCCTTAAATACAGTTTTCCTGCCTTGTTTGTCAGTTTGGAAATTTCCAGGGGTTACTCATTACATGCTGATGTAGGGCTTAGCTCTTAGTTATCAATCTGGTTCTGATCTAGTTCTACTTGTTCTCTGGCCCTGTTTACATGATCAATACGTTAGGGTAAACAGAATTGTTTATGCGTTCTCGTCCTTATCTACAATTCGTTCTTGCTACATGGGCATATGTTCCCAAAGACTTGCTTCTGGCTCATCAGATATAGGGAAAGGAGGAAAAGAATGCAGGCCTCACCACTCCTAACCTAACATGTACAAAGTTCTTCTGCAATTGACCCCTACACCCATCCTTGCAGCCATCCTTGAAATACCCTTTATTTTAAACCTTTAGCAGTTGTCTAAAGAAATAAGGAAAAATAGTTTAGGGGGGAAATTGCCATCAATTCTCTTGTTCAGAAAGATGATGATGACAACTCTTGAACTTAATAGTCTGCCTCCTCTGCAGCTTTAAAAAATATTTTTACTAAATGCACGAGGCTTTTTTGCAAAGGATTTGCAATGTGCTTTATCCTGGCACATATGTTTAGAAAGGAGTTAAATTATTTTCTCTAATTAGATGGAGGGCAGGATGATGGCATGCTTCCATCTTTATGCAATTCCCTCTTTCAGTAGTCTGCAGTGAGAAAAGAAGGTGTGACAAAATTACCAGTCCAACCTCCCAATTCCAGCATTGTTTACTGTATTCTGGGAAAAGGAGGTTATGGGGGAACAAGCCATCTTCTTCCTCTTGTGTAATCAAAGTCCCATATATCGATTTTAACGACAAAATTTGTTTTTGCTGCTTTTTGGCTCCTGTTAGCTAGGCAGAGCCAGCGCAGCTAAGAGGAAAGAAGCTGGGTCTTTTCCTCCTCCAGCATCTTGAGCATGGGTTCTCAACCTGGAGGTCACAAAGAGATGTTAGAGGGTCACAAACACTCTCCTATTCCCTTATTGCTACAGAATTGTTAGCATAAGAAAGGCTTCGGACCACTGCTCTACAGTATAAACTCCATTCAGTTTCATCCGTGTAAGCCCACTGAAGTTCTAGGAGTTGCAAAAGTGTCACTGAGGGCAATATCTGTCCTGTGGTACCTCTGTTATTGGTGATGAACAAAAAGAAGGCATCTTAGATTAATTTGAAAGTTCTGGTTTCGTTTGTAGAGCTAGTTTTTTTAAAAAAAAAAATAACCATAAACTCAGCCTATTTAATAAGGAATGATTGAGACACAATAAACATGGAGCCATTTTTACAGTGTTTAAGAAAGAGCCAGGGCCGGCCCAAGCCATTTCTGCGTCCCAGGCCCCGGGAGCGTAGCGCCGCCCCCGGAAGTGTGACGCATGCATGGCCCTGCTCCTGAGGCCCGGGGCGCATGCATGGCCCTGCCCCCACGTGTGCGGCGCTTGCGTGGCCCCGCCACCGGGTGCACGGCGCATGTGTGGTGCCACCCCCGCCCGGCCCGGCAGCCCCATGCAGCACCCCCTACAATGGGGTGCTCCGAGCGGTAGCCCAGTCAGCTCGTATCTTGGGCCAGCTCTGGGAAGAGCTGCACTATAAATGGAAAATTTCTCTGCCTACATATAGAAAATGTAAAGCTTGCCAACTGTTGCTGCATTACGGTGAAATATGTTTGTTTGTTTTCTTTACTGGAATGCAATGAGCAAATAATAATTACAAGGGTTTTCTGTGATGAGTTATTTACATAGTATAACATAATTAATAAAAATAAGGCTGCCAGGATGTAGAGAGATTACTGGGTAGCTGTTGATTTGGGTTTTTCTTCTGACTTGGGATTTCTTCCAGGGTGTTTCCATAAAAGTGTTGTGGAAAAAAAATTGCACCTCCAAATGCAGACAACTCTCAAGGGATTTAAGAATTTCTCTTTCAACTAATGCATAATTCCGCTTTGTTTTAATTATCTTCCACCCTTATTTCCACCTTATTTCATGCTTTACATTAGCATCTACTTTATTGTCTTTTGGAGATTTTCACCTGTCTGCATTAATTTTCACTTATATCCTTTATCTTTTTTGTAAGGTACATCTTTTCTGCTCTGGTTGCATGTGTGTGCAGGGATTAACCTCTGAAATATTTCTTTAAAAGAAAGAAAGAAAGAAGCAGTGATTCAAAGTCAGTATGGTCTTGAAATATTGTAACAAGTGTTGTCAAGGTGAAGCAGCCACAAGCTTAGCATAGATATGCAAAACAAGCATGTTGAGATCATGTTTCAGGGCTCCAATCCTGAAATAAGTGATAGTTCTCATACGAGTAAAGATTACAGGACCGGACACTTATTTTACAGCTTACACAGATGGTGCTAGTACCTGCTTATTTTAAACCCAAACTGCAGCCTTGCTAATACATTGATTCTTCAGTCATGTGACTTAGCCCCAGTGACTTCAGTTGAATGTTTGTAACATTCACACAATTGTCCATTACGTGAGCACTGCACACAATATATGCTAGAAATGCTGGGCCACCCCTTTCAAAGTAAATTGGCACAAAAAGTTCTGCAGTAGTTTCTACAGAAAGGGTCCAGAGAAGAGCAACAAGAATGATTAAAGGACTAGAGAACATGACCTATGAAGGAAGGCTGAAAGAATTGGGTTTGTTTAGTTTAGAAAAGAGAAGATTGAGGGGGGACATGATAACCGTTTTCAGGTATCTAAAAGGAGGAGGGAGAAAACTTGTTCATCTTGGCCTCTGAGGATAGAACAAGAAGCAATGGGCTTAAACTGCAGCAAGGGAGGTTTAGGTTGGACATTAGGAAAAAGTTCCTAACTGTCAGGGTAGTCAAACACTGGAATAAATTACCCAGGGAGGTTGTGGAATCTCCATCTCTGGAGATATTTAAGAGTAGGTTAGATAAATGTCTCCCCGGAGCAGGGGAGCCACAGCAGAACCAGGGAACAGAGTCCCAGCAGCCCTGCGGCAGCTCTGATGCCCCGAAAAACAGAGCCCTGGCGGCCCTGGAGCTGGGAACCCTTGGCAGCCCCAGGGCAGCGGAGCCCAGCAGCCCTGGGCAACAGAGCTCCAACGTCCGCCCGCAGAGCTGTGGCAGCCCCAGCAGCCCTGCCGCCACAATGACCTGGGGCAGTGGAGCAGTGGCAGCCATGAGTGGCTCACAGAGCCAGGAGATGGCGGCCTGGTGGCAGGGGAGCTCTGCTAGGTCTGCTGACGGACCCCAGGGAGCTTGGAGTCCATAAGCAGAGGGACGGAATTGACCTCCCATGGTCTGGCAAACTCCCTCCTTTGGGATCAGTTAGGTCCCGAGGATGCTGGACCATGGAGGTTCACCCTGTAGTTAGTGTTTATCATACTGTCTAGTTAAAAGAAGAAAATTACTGTTGAACAATAGAAGCTGCTGGCTGCTGAGTGCTGTTGAACATGTGCTGCTTCATCTTGATTGGTGTTTGTGTCAGCCGACGGTCAGGGCAGTGTGTGTGTGTATGTTTCCGAGAAAAGGTTTAACGTCCGTGCCTTTACTGCTAGGACCGGGGTCCCATCGCAGAGGGTGGCCAGCAGGCCAACAGACGCCCCGTTATATAGGAAGAGCTTATTACATCTTAGATTTCAGCTGCTAGAATTTCATAATTCCTTCGCAGCGGGCAGCCTTGAGGAAAGACTGAAAGATGCCCCAGTGGGTCCTGTCACCTGGGAGTGACACAGATCCAAACGCCCAAGCTCTTCCTATAACTGTCCCTTTAGACCGGCTGAAGTTCTTTTAAATTGTGCTTGGTTCTGTTACAGCAACTGAAGGAGGCAGGTTAAAGCTTAAACAGTTACAGGTTTATTGAGGAAGCTTATAAATCATATGGTTACAATGGCTATTGCTCTATTTCTTAACTATTAGCAAAATATAGGTCTTAAAAATGGTTACAAAGAAGATAAAGATAGAAAAATAGAAATAATGGTACCAAGTAACAGCTTACTCTTTCTATGTGTACACTTAAGACAGAGGACCACATCCAGGTACCATTTTTACCCCC